TACCCGGGCGGCACGGCGGCTGGCTGCTTCCCAAACAAATACACATGTGCGGCTTGGCACTTGTGCTGTACGTAACAAGTCACGTGACGTGACGCTGCGGCTGTGATTGGTTCGGCTCTGCGCTACTTAATTTGGATTGGCTGTTCTTTTTTTTTTTTTTTTTTTTTAAGAGGACAAGAGCGGTGAGGTCTATCGCAATAGGCCTCACCGCTTTTTTCTATCGAGAAAAAGTTATTTCGCAATACATATCGTTATCGTTCTATCGCCCAGCTCTAGTAACAGGTCTTCTTTATTCATTTTCCTCATCTACACCCCACCTGGAGGGGGTCTACGCTCCAAGAACCAAAGTTACAAAGTGTCACCATTAAAAACAGCTCAAAAGCTTTCTGCTTTTAGCTAAGGTGATAATTATTAGAAAAAGTTTATGAGTATGACATCACTTAACCAGACTTAGCATTACTAAGTTTACACTCCAAATGTATAACAAACCGCTGAGCGTTACCTCCAATCTTACCATAAACCAAAATCAGAAATCATTCTTTAACCTACATAATTTGATGCTTTAAGCCTACCGCATGATGTATTAGGTGAAAAGAGAGATGGCAGACAGACAGACAGAGAGAGACGGAGATGAAGAGCGCTGGAGGAGAGCCCTGTCTCTACATGCACGGCTGGTGGAAAAATGTCTCTCTTAATGGATCCCAGCTTTCTACAGCACTTAGAACAGCCAAGACCCGCCGAGGGAATAAAATATGGCATTATTATTATTATCCTGCAATTATCAATTATCCTCTCTCTCCCTCCCTGCCTAACTTTCACTGTCTCTGTTAGTTTCTAAGCACCGATGCACACGTTCACACGGATTTAAACATGCACACTCAGGCGTTCGGGACTTTCTGTCAGACTGATCCACGTGGGGGCACGTGTTTGGAAGAAATAACTAAGAACATGCGCTCTCCTACAGAGAAACCACAGAATCTGCACTTCAAAACTCTGATGGTTGCGCTGCAGTTTAGCTGGTACACGATGACAGCCGGATATGCGCCTTGTTGACTAGTGTTAGCGGAGCCATTTTTTATGTGACAGATGGAAACAGACAACAAAACTCCTTTTTTCTTTTTCCAGTCAGATTCGGACAGACGACTCAAAAACCCCCCCAAAAAACAGAAGAGAGATTACGCAATAAATTAAAGACAGATTTTTCACTCTAACATCACTTCCTTGATCCTGTGAAGACACACAGTAAATGTCAGACTGTTCTGCTCCATCAGGTCGAAGCTTCTTTTATTTATTTATTTTTCTGGACGTCTGTATCTGCTAGCCTCATCTGCCTCCAGAAAAAAACAAAAAACTCAGCTCTGTGTAGGCAGCACGCAGTCAGCCCACTCTCACTCTGCAGAGGCTGGAAAGAAATACGGGGGTGTTTGCTGGCCATGAGATGTGAAATTCAAGCTTTTATTTTAATCAGACTTTTAATCTGTTACAGCCAAGTTAGGAGCCTAAGTAGAAATACGCCCTAAAAAAGCCATCTTTGACTGATTTAGTCCACGACATCACTTGATAAATCACCTAAAGCATTTTGAGTGCTTCTGAATAATGATAAGGCGCTAAAGTTTGCCCTGAAAGCCTTTTCTTGCTATTGTTGTGGTCTTTAGCAGCTGGGATGCAGCCAGCAGTCTGCTTATCAGCACTTAGCGAGGCAGGGTGAGAGAAAACCTGTCCTGAGGGCCAAGCTTTCAGTGCTAAGCCGGAGGATACGGTCCAAGACTATTAGCTTTAAACGGGGATGGAGAGATGGGTAAACCTGCCAGAACTTGGCGTACCTCTGCCTTTGTCTACAAATGAGGCTTTTTGTTACAAAGTTCACAAAGTGCAGCAAAAAACTGATTTAAGTTTAAAGAGCAAAAGCAAAAATTAACAGAAAATTCAGAATGAGTGGAAATATGAATTATAATTTCAGGATCGTCAAATCTAAACTGTTTTTTTTTTAATCTAATAAGTGACATAAATAACACGCTGCTTCTGTGTGTCGTGTCTATGCATTGTCCATTTTTTGCATATCAATCTGCACCTTTAAGCGGCACCAAACAGGGACGTGCTGAGATAGGAAAAACTGGAGCTGTTGTGTCTTTAACCACAAACAGATGGCATGCAATAACACGCAAACTTACTGAAGGACAACTGGAATGACATTCAGACGCTGCTTCACAATACCAGGCTGTTACTTAACACCAGATTGCTGACTGTAACTCTTTACCCCTTGAAAGCATGCTACGAGTAATCCCTGAAGCTCTTTTGTGAAATGAGTGGTTTCTGTCATATTTCAGGCCTGCTGTCAGAACAAAATGACCGGGTTTGGATCAGAAGTTAGTGAGGGTGGTTTCAGGGTGGTTACAGCTACCCTTGGAAAAACCCAGAAACTATTCTAATGATCGACAAATCACATTATTGATCTATACTGAGGCATCAAACTCTTCAGGGGCGGTCGTCAAATGCCGTCTTTGTGGTGGAAACATCTCACTCTGACATCACTTCGGTTGTGTGTCATGTCCTCAGACCAAAGACTTATCCTAAACTGAACAGGATAGTCGGGGATCTGAAGGAAGGTGGGGGGAATAACACAAAGAAAACAGTCTGGGGTTGAATCAAACTCAGGTCTCTGCAGCCTTTCAGAATATAGTAAATGGACTGGTTTTCTACTTTACTTGAGCACACAAAGCACTTTATAGATATTTATACAACATGCATCATTCATCCATTACAAGAACTTGTTTTTTACGATTTTTCTAGCAAACATTCACACTCTGATGAACACATGTGACAGGAACTTGGGGTCAGTATCTCGCCCAAGGATGCTCTGGCATGGAGACTGGAGCAGCCAGGAATGCTTTACCTCCGGAGCTACAGCAACCCCATAGTTCAGCTCCTCATCCAGGTGAGCACTCAGCTGCAGCACTTCCTAGTGAGCTTGCAGACCCTAAATATCCCCCATCTTCTGCTGTGTATTCAGCGCTTCCATGAGTTTGTAACTGACTGCAGATCAGAGGCATGAGTCGAGGTGCCTGCATGTTTATACAGGACCAGACCCTATACCACCAACACAGCTTTTACAGCTGGGCTGTTTGGACTTGACGGATGAACTGTGGCATATGTCTTGGGTGTGTGTGTTTGTCTGTGTGTGTGTGTCAGGAAGCACAAATCAACAAACCATAAACAAGTCAACATTATGACCCCAAATAACCCCCCAAAACTCCAGCTTTTACACTAAATCGGTCCAAACAGCTTGTTTAAGCTACAAAATCAAAGATAGCTAAACGCAAAGCTTAAAATCAGATTCATCTAATCGCGTTTAATCTTAAAAATTCATTTCTTCTACTTTTCTTTTCTCTCATTTTTTTTATTGCTCTACAGTTTGTTCAAATACATCCATGGTGTGTATTTCTGTGCACGCGTGCGCTCAGTCTTTATGGTATTTTAATCACTGGAAACCCCTGAACAATTAGCTGGCGAGCGGCTTCCCCTTCACTGTCTGCGGGTGTGTAATTTAGAGGAAAACAGCAACAGGCCTCATTAACATCAGCCTTTCTAGGCCATAATCACTCCATGCATGCACACACACACACACACACACGCACGCACGCACACACACACACCCAGCAGGTCGCAGACTGAAAAAATGTGAAGCAAGTTTGGGGTCAATGTCAAGATGTAAAGATCCATTAATCATTAAATCCATTAGTCTGACTCACCGCTGCCCTCTGGAAGGCTCCTTTCGTGTAGGTGCCTCCTCCTCTGTAGTTGATGGCTGGGATCTCCTGGTTGAACAGGGAGCACTTGTGCTGGTGGGACTTAGGCGCAGAGATGTGGTCCACCCTCGTCACCACGTGGGTTTTGGATGAGAAGGTCACCAGCGCCACGCGGGTGTTCTCCGGTGCGACGGGGAAGTCGGACAGCATCTTGCGTATGAACCTCAGCTCACTCAGGAAGTTGTTGGCCCCCACGCTCGAGGACTCGTCCACCAGGAAAACCAGGTCCAAGCAGGAGCTTTTCTCACGCAGCTCACGCACATTTCGCTTGAACGCCATGCCGAGGCGCTCCACTTTGCTCTCTGCACTTTCTGACAGGTTACCAGCTGACGAGGAGGAGGAGGATGAGGACAGGGTTGACATCTGTCTGTACCGCCGAGGCTGCTGCTGCTGCCTCTGGGATTGTTGAACAGCTGGCCAGGCCGTGGTCCACGCATCCAGGACGCACAGGAGCAGAAGACAAGTAGTCCATGATAGTGTTAAAGAGTATCTTTGATAAAACATAGTTACAGTCAGCACAGGACCTCTACTGAAGGAGGACTCTGCAAAAAAAGAAAGACAGCTTGGATCCTCTTCACAAGAGGAGTTCAGTGAAGATAAAAGTGCCCTAAGCTTGCATCAGCGTCCAGGAGCACAGCAAACAGCAACAACTTGGTGCAGAGTTCCTCAAAAGCATTGCTAGATGAAGATAAAGGTCCTTTCATTCAAAACGTGCTTCTGTTTGTCTTTCTATGTCTCCCCTCAGTGGAGCAAAACTCTGCTCTGCAAATGCTCAGCCTTCCTCACAAGGTGTCTGCCTCCCTGACTTTCCTGCAGAAATAAATCGGTGTATATGGCCACTTCCTCGCTCTCTGTGCATGCAGTGTTTAAGGCTTTTTTAACATAAACCTATATGCTCTTCATCTCCTCTCTGCCTGCCTGCATGCCTGTTAGTCAACCTTTCAGTCAGTGCATCTGATCCAAAAACCACCTCAAGCCTCTTCAGTCCTCTTTAGTCCCAGTGCGCTCCCCCTCAGGCTCCTGTTTGCCTATGTGACGCTCCTGCCTGCACCGTCAGCCAAGCTCCGAATGCTCGTTCCCCTCTTCTCCCCAAATCATTTAAAAAAACACACAGAGGAGGAGGAGGAGGAGGAGGAGGAGGGAGGAAAAAAGTTGAGAGACAGAGAGAGGTTGAGGGGAAAAAAGGGGGCTGTCCAGTCGCGGCGTGAAGTCATTTTTTTCCCCTTCATATCTCCTCCTCTTTTTCTCTCAACTCCCCCTTATTTCCCTATCTCTCTCTCTCACTATGTCTCTCACCCTCCCCCTGGCCCTTATCTCCTTCTCCCTCTCTCCTTGTATTTCTCTATCTCTCTCATCCGGACAGTGAAGTGAGGCTTTATGTCAGTGCTGCGCCTCGCCTGTCAACTTGTCAGCATTCCCAAAGAAAACATCAGCAACAGGCGCAGTGATCAACTCCATATGTCTGCACCGTGCACGTAACACAGCGTCGGTCTGAGATCAAACAAAGTCAGAGTGAAAGGTGGGGGAAAGGGAGGAGAGGACAAAAAGATAAGTCAGATAAAACCTTAGATGAGATTAAGGAAATTATTTCAGACACATGTGGAAGATTGTTAGTTCTTTTTTCCTTTTAGGCGCTATCCTTTCCTCTCCCTACTGACCTCCTTATCTGCCTTGTATCTTGCTCCAGACATTAAAAAACAGGAGGGAACTGAACCGTCTTCCTCTCCCTTTAATTTGCCCACTTTTTCCTGCACCACGGGATTCACACTCGTTTTTTTCTCCATCTCTCCTGTCTCCTTGTGTCTCTCTGCTGTTGTGTTTTCCACTAGTGATTTTATCTGTAACCAAAACAAAAGGCAGCCGGTGTTACAGAGGCACGCTGCGCCTATTAAAAACAAAAGCCTTAGAGTTACAGCCAAAAGAGCCATGGACGCTCAAGAAGAAGAAGAAGAAGAATGAGACTGCAGAAGGAGAGAATGACATCGGACAAGAGGAAGAAAAGGAGGGATGGATAAAGAGATGAAAAAGTTTGCAGACACCCAAACATAAACTTTCATTCATTCCAAAACATTACCCACTGTTCAGGGAAGGCTTTCCACAAAGGATTTTGAAACCTGGCTCCAGGGATGTTCTCCTAATCAGCCATTAGAGCATTAGTGAGATCACCGAGTGGGTGATAAGCGCTGTCTCGCAGTTTAACCCGAAGGTGTATAATGGGGTTGAGATCAGGGCATCTCTGCAGGCCAGACAAGTTTATTCCACACCAAAAAGGAAAAAGCCATTTCTTAATGGATCTGGCTTTGTGCTCAGGGGCAAGTTTCCACAAAGCTTGGAGCAGTTTAGGAATTCATTATACGCTGCAGCATTAGGATTTCCTTTGATCAAAGCCAGAGCTGAAACTCATTATTATATTTATCGCCCATTAGAACAGCAGTTCCCAACCTTTTTCAGCCCTGTCAGACCTACTCAGGAACCCCTTCATCAGGACCCCCTCTCATGTTCTACGGTGTTCATTTAAGCTCATTTTAAACTGGAGCTGGACTATTTCCAGTACAGCATTTATCAGTTATGGTTAGCAAACTCAGCTGTTCCTGCATCACTGCGGACTTACCAGTTTGAACACCATCTGCTGACTACCTTTGGTTACTGCTAGATTTAACGTGTATTGATTACATTCAGTGATCTTTTTTTTTTTAGTCCATACCAGACATATTATCAGACCGTGTCTGAGACATGAACTACCACAGTATAGAAGCATAGGACAAAATGACAGCGTTTAAGAAAGGAAACCCGAAGTGAGAAAATCTGAGCACAAATCAAACTGCTCAGATAAAAACCAAAGAATAAAAGTGGGTTTAAATGGGTTTTTAAAGTGTCTAATAATAGACAGGCCCTGATGTGAAGAGGCAACATCAGACCAGCTACAGCAAAGACCCGATATCCTCTGTCTTTTCATCTGGAACTCGGGAGCTAGGAGCATTTGCTCAGCAGACCTTTCTGATCTAGAGGGAGTGTGCAAACATAAAAGATCAGACAGGTAAGAAGGCGCCGACCCATGTGATGCTTTAAAAAACAAATAAAAGTCAGTATAGGGAAGCTACTATGGGGGATATGTGGGCTTGCATGTGTGTGCCAGTTAATAGCTGTGCCGCAGCGCTTTGGACCAGCTGCAATCGGCTGAGCAGTGACAGACTGACACCTGAATAAAGACCGTTACAATAGTCAAGACGACCAGATCCACTGTGGTGAACCCATGCAAATAAAGAAGCAGCTGAAAGAAGATTTATTCTGTATGTGAACGAAGTCTAGACTGAGAGAAGATCATCATTGAGACGTGTTTTTAGTCTAAGACTAGGATTAATCAATGTCTGGGAAACGGACACTATAAGAAGGGGAGGGATAATCCCCAAACAAACAAAAAAAGGCACAGACAATGGTATGAATATAACTTCCAGGTTTTTATAACCTTATTTTGCAGCAAAAAGTCAGCAACCTTAAGCATTTTTATTAGACTTGACTGGTGATTGGGGCACAGACGACACAGGATTTTTGAGGCAGATATGGATACCAATATCTCGTAACTTAAAAATCTGATATTTCGATAAATTGGCCAATATTATTTTAAACACCAAACATCAACGTTTGTTACATGTAGCTGCCCGACTCGGCTCGGATCAGTTTTATTTGCAGCGTTCCAAACACAACCACCAGGGAAGTTGCAGAGCTCCCTCTGGTGGACAAACTATGCAACATGGTCTTCAAAATAACTGCCCGAACTGCCGCATGTGCATTTCCAGGTCGCTGAATGAAAATGTTTGCTTTTAGATGGACTTTGTAATTTCAGCTAACAATTTCAACAGCTAGAAACTTATTTAGCTGATGATTTTCAACAGTTTATCCACAATTTTAGCTAGCTACTGTATTTCATATTTTTATCAACAACGTTTAACAATTTACACAGCATATTTATGGTTTTATCTAACAGTTTCAACAGTTAATGTTAACTTTTGCAAGCTTTTTCAAAACTTTTTGATCATTTATGCATTTCTTCTATTGTGTTTTACACCTATTAACACCGTACTCTCCATCGCAACGTCTCAGAATTTGAAGTTTCCACTTTTGTAATCCACAAAGACTAAAAGATATCAGCATTTTTCTGATTAATTATATAATGAACTGAGGCTGGACCTCAGTTCATTATATAATAGATAACTACATGTATACATAAGAGAGCAATAAAACAGGAAAAGTAACAAAATAAGTGGAGGAGGCAGAAACAATAAAAACAAGTCTACAGAGGGTGTGTGTGTGTGTGTGTGTGTGTGTGTGTGTGTGTGTGTGTGTGTGTGTGTGTGTGTGTGTGGGTGGGTGTGTGTTTCCTCAAGACAGTCCACTGCACTCAGCTTTGCAGCGTTAGCCACAATGACACACAGTGTTTATTAGGCTCTATAAGCCAAGGTTTCGCTCCCTCTCGCTCCCTC